ACCAATCAAAGAAACAAAGAAACAAAGAAACAAAGAAAGAAACAAACGAACGAACAAACGAACGAGCGAGCAAGTGAGCAAGCTGCAAGCAAACGAACCACCAAACAAACAAAACACACGCATGCGAACAAACACACACGCAAACACACGCCGGAAAAGACGTGCTCTTTCACACAAACATGTACACGAACATACGTACATACACACATACACATACACACGCACATACGCAGTACACTACGTATTTAATGGCATTTCGGCGGCACTGACCGATTCATTCACCGACGACCAGCAACAGGAAACAACGACAAAAAGACACAGCAAGTTTCGGCAGCAGGGCGCATCATCATCCAGACCCACAACACCCACGGCTCCCCCGATGCCGTCGCAGCCCAGGAGCGAACACAACAACTGACAAGACACGTGGGAACAAACAGCACTGACGATCTTTGTTGGGAAAGTCCGCTAAGCTTCATCTTTCCGGGTGCTGAGTTTGGCTTTGCTTTGCCCACCCTAGGGCAACAGAATGGGCCTGTCTCTAAATGGTGGACCCACCAAAATGTGTGGTTTTCGTTTTGATTTCCTCAAGCAACCCAACCCCCATTTTTGGAGGGTACTCCAACAACAAGCCGTTAACCCCTCCAAAAAGATGTTTTCGTCGAAGCGTCTGTACCAGAAACAAACGCGACAACCTCCCTCCCCCCTCCCCCAATTGATTTTTTCGTTCTCCTCAAGCAACCCCATGTATGTGTGTGTGTTTTTTGTGATTTTTTTTTGCGGGGTATGTTTCTTTTTTGTTTTGCCGGGGGGCCCCCCAACAGAAAACGAGAGACACCCCCTCCCAAAAAAACAAACAAACAAACAAACATTCCTCCCAATCCGCCCCTACCCCCCCCCCCCCCCCTGCCCTCTCCCCCGGCCGAACACGTGCAAGTTCTTAGCGTCGAACTCGAACTTGGGGAAGATGGCGGCGTCCGAGGTCCGATCCACCAGTCTTCTGGCCCGGTCCACCGGGCCCATGGCCAGGCGCTGGACGTGGGGATAGTCCGGATACTTCTGATCAAACCTGCACGCGGAACGGCCCAGCGAAAACCCGGGGCCCGTTTTCCTTTTTACTCTCCTTTGCGTCTGTGTTTTTAAAGGGCTCCCCCCAACATGGTGGGTTTGGGCTTTTCTGTGGGTTTCCCGTACCAAACCCAAAAAACTGGAACTGTGCTGCAAAAAGATCATTTGGGGGGTGTCATTGGTGTCCTTTTAGCTAGAAATAGATTGAGTTGGCATAAACCAACCTAGGCAGGTGGAACCCATCTATTTTCTAACCAAAGTAACCCAAAAAGAACACCTATGACACTGCCCCCATTTTAGTGGGTGCCCCCCAAAAAACAGGTGCAACTCGATCCATGTGCAAGGTGTTTGTCCATAGTTCGCTTTTGAGTGGGCCAGCCATCATGTGCCATCTAGAACAATGAAGACGCGCCCCGAGGCCTTCAACGGTTTTGCTGCATTGCAGCTTGACACGATCGGTTTATAGCCTATCAACCCACACACACACACGTATACACATCTCTCTACATGTATATATGTAACAATTAATGCACATAATGAATCGCACGTGCATATTTACACAACATGCTTATAGACATGTATTATGTATGTCCCGCACCACGCTTGGATGTGCGCACTTCTCTCTTCTGCGCACGCTGAAACAAAGGACGCTTATTGGTTGCTAAGCCCAGAGACAATAAGCACTGCGTGCTCGATTGATGCCTCTTCAGTTTGACGTTTGGCTGTCAGTGCACATTGGTTGCTTCAAACAGTCTCACATCTGGCATCCATTCAGCACAAGTTGGATTGTTTCAGTGGAGCAGTTTTGGCACACGCCGGGTGCCGGGTCTTGCCACACTGGCGCAATGAGACATTCAGCTTCGGCAGATCTAGAAATGCATCGTTGGCTTGTATGTCTCTTCGCTGGGTGGTCAAATCCATGTTCTAGTTCGGTCCACAAATAAGCCGAAGACTGGCTTGGGCTTATGGGAACTGCAATCTCCAGACCCCTCATGTCCGCATCCCTCTATTTCCTTCAAACATCACCCATTTTGGGAAGTTGGCCAGTGATGTTAAATGGGTGTGGCTCCAAATTTACGTAGCCAGGGGACTGCTGGTAGTCTACTTTTCTATTTCTGAGTTACACCCAAACACCGGCTTCAAGGAAATCCCTGGCTCCTCCCCCGGCTTGCAGAAAGAGGCACCAGAGTTCCATTGGCGTTCCCCCTTGCACGGAGACGGTCTTCCTGGATGGCAAGGAGTGATACTCCCTTGACGAATGGAAGGGGGTTCCCCCCAACGTCAGCCAGGGTTTGGCCGAAGCTTCTACCAGTCGGTGCCAGGCGAGCCAGCCGGCTTGAACTACAGTCAACTTGGGCAGCAGCATCTGATCAAACTACCACCTTTCAGCCTGAACGACACATGCTAGAAATAATTTATTTGAGACCTTCAAACGCTCTAAATAACAAAAATACTTGACCCCCCACTAAAAACAGGCCCATACCTGGATAGACACACGCACACACACACACACACACACACACACACACACATAACCACACGCGTGCGCTCGAACCCGCCAGGTTGTATGAAGGTTTAGGTTGGATGAAAAGCCCAGGGTTTCTGAAGCCCGGCTGCCTGTCGAGATGTGGGGCACGACCGGTGGATGCCGCGGCCTCGATGCCTTTTTTTCTTTTGGGCACCCGCAGAGTTTAAACACGAAAGACACCTGCCAAATATAGTAAAAACATGCAAAGTCAATGTCGTTTTGGGGCTGGACCTCGATTAAGCTGCGTTTGATGTTAGAATTGTCTTTTCGGGGGGATTGGCATTCTAAGAAAATAAGAAATCCGGTTGAGACTCTTGACGGACTCCACCATTTCTTATCCCCCATCAAATCCTTAAGACATATTCCAGACCCTGGCCAAAACACGCGGTTTTCTTAACATACCGATCGACCGCATTGTCACAGGGCTCGCTCAGTCAAGCTTCTTAGCTCCTTTTTTTGAGTTGATTCGTTGTTTGCGTTTTTCGTTTTTTTAGGGAACTTGGAAAACCCTTGCCTTAAGAGGTTAGCATTTAGAGACACACCCTGTCGATCTCGGGTAGCACTCCCCCCGTTTTGCACCGAGGGGCTGCTGTATTACCGCTGACTGCAAGCTGGTGAAGCCAGCCGCATTCTCGTTCTTCCTTGGTCAATCCCTCTTGCCACATTTTGCTACCAGGTTGTGCCGTCGCATTTATCCCGTATAGCACATTTTGCTACCCTCTCTTTTTTTTTGGGGGGGGGGGGGATAAATGAAGGGAAACCTCAGCACGGGAATTGGAGGTTGCAACGTTGCAACAAAAAACTCGCGTAGTAAAACCACGACTCAACGCTTTTCACTTTTGTGGCCCATGCCCATTGAAGATGTTGCCACCAAACAAGTCCCTGAACCAGCTGTCTGTGTGTGGCATGAGCCTTGTGGCTCCTTCTACTGCCTATGCGAATTGCTTGAGCCATCGGCAAACTTGGCTTAGGGTACATTGCCAGTTAGCTCTGTCAATCCCCGTTGCTGAGCAGCATCCTCAGCTTCCCTCTAATTGGTGGTTTGGATTGGTCGTTTGGTGGTGAAGGGATGGTTTCCCAGCTACCCTCTACAAGAAGGGGTTCAAATCCCCAAACCACCAATCCAAACCACCAATTCAGGGTGACCTGAATGATGCTTCATGGCTCCTGTCATCTGGTTTTTGAGCTTGGAGACACCAGCTACCTGGGTCAAGTGGGTCACAGCTCTTCCCAGCACCAAAAACAAGTCCATCTCCCCAGACCTTCTGTGGAACAGGGACAAAAGCGCATCTGTTCAGTTGTTACTAGAGTGCCCCCTCTCAAAAACAACGAACAAAGGAGTTCTCCCAAAGGTCCGGGTCGCTTTTGGTGCGAACAACTGAATCCGAAAACCGACCAAGCGTCACCACCAAGAAGGATGCCAGGTTAGCGGTGTAGGCCGAAAGCGTCAGCACGATACACCTGCTGAATAAGCCATCCAAAGGTCTCCACTTAGGGGACGAATCGTGTGGTCTAGTAGCCCCCAGGTTAAGCCCCCAGTAAAACTGCATCAACCCCCTTTTCAATGCCTCACATCATTCAGAGTCCCAACATCCGGAGCAGGGCTTTCGGAACACCTGTGGCTTAGAGTCGTGAGCGGCACCAAAAACTCTCGTTTGCGCCGATCAACATGCAGCGTTAATGGTACACTATAGGCAACCGTACTGTCCGAGTCCTCTCGATCGCCCTGAGGTTTCAAAGTTTCAAGTCGTACGCGCTAGGCGCCCTCCAAAGGGATCGGTTTCACGTTTGCTTGTATTGCCCCCCAAAAGACTTCTAACAAAATTTCAACAGAGATTGTTCACCTCGGATATCCTCGGATTAATAACCTCCCTGACATGGATACAGGTCAGGTTGCTGTACTTTAAGTATTGGGCAACACAATTTGGGAATTGGGCACGAGGATTCCGATAAGACTCCCAGTGACTGTTTCCTTCAGATTGACGCGATGAAACTCCATGAATGTTCAATGAGACTGAGTGACGATAGGATGCACTACAATAAACCGACCGGTTCAACTCACCCGTTTGTGCGCCCAACATTTTGCATGTTTATGTTTAACACCTCCTCGTTACCACCCGTTTGGCGCCCAACATTTGGCCTTCTTATGCCAAACCCTCCTCCTGTTTTTAACTCAGGTGCACAAGAACCCAGAGAAGCTTCCTGCACCAGACCGTTGGATGCTGTTCTGTTTGGAACAAGCCACAGCCACAAAAAGCGGCGAACCGCGCTCGCCGTGTTGGGCAAGGTGCCAGGTCCATGAGGTCACCAAGATCTTCCCCGGCCACGTCTTGGGCGCGAAGCCGCTGGCCCCGGTGATGTGGCCGCTGGACTTGAAGATGCTGTCCGAGATGTAGGCCCGGTGGAA